ACGCGCGCGCGCTCACACACACACACACACACACACACACACACACACACACACACACACACACACACACACACACACACACACACACACACACACACTTTCGTGTATGTGTGACTCAATACCTTTAATCAGGTACGTATATATAATAACTATGATAGTGCGCGCGGGTAGGAGATGGGTGTATATCCATATCGACTTGTAAACGCATTGCTTGCTGTTCGCTTCATTCAGCTGCCTTCCACACCCGCGCAGTTAGTCGGCAACGCGACAGAGCTTCCTGACAATGTTACCCGCAAGCACGTGCTCGACCGAGACAACATGAAAACCAAGACCACCACCACCCAGTCGCACTTCCCCGGGGGCGGTGACCTCATGAACATGGTCGAACGGTTGTCGGAATTTTCTCAGCAGCAAGGAAAGATGTACGATAGCGAACAGTTCCATATAGGTGAGAGAGAGACGCTCTTTTTTAATGCAACTATTTCACAAAGAAATCGGAAAGGGCCTAAGGGTAGATAAATTTGGTCTCACCTATTAGCGGACTTACTGATTGCACGTAGGGCCTACAACAATCACCACAAATTTGTGCTGATATAGGCTATAACAGTAAATAAACAGCAACCGTGCGCTCGCTTAACTCTCCTGCTAACGCGTGGTCCTCATGGTCATCTATTTGCAGCCAAGACTCTCACTACACACAAAGATCGGGTTGAGAGCTTAGCTACACAGCTAGGCGAGTTGGCGTGCTCAGTGGCCGAAGCACGTGACTGTGTTGATGACCTTGGCGGGAAACAGTTGACCGATGACACAACCTCGACCAAAGAGAAGCCACCGTGTATGAATGAACCACGCGTAAGTCGTCTTCGTTGCCTAACTAGAGAGAAGGCTTTACTTGCACGAAATATTGAGATGCTATGGTTACATTTGACTTAACTATATGCGCATTTTACGATGTATTATGTTGTTTATGTTGGGATATATACGATCACCTTCACGAGAATTGCCATGTTTGTTGTACGCGTATTTGAATTTATCGTTTTGTCTTGTCAACAATTTGATTATGTGGAAAGAAACAACCGTCAAAGGCGAACAAATGCATAGTTTTCATAACTTTACATAAGCTATGCATTTTGGTATATACACCACCTGAAATACATTATGTAAAAATTGTACATTATTTACATGTTGTGCGGTAGCGATGCATAGAGAGATGAAAGCTTGTATACAGTATATATATACATATATATATATATATATATATATATATATATATATATATATATA